CCTGCTTCTGATACGACTTCAGCATGCTAGCAGCAGGCGTGGGAGTGATATTTTCTGTTGGCATTCTCCACTCATTGTGAAATACACAGTGTATCTAAGCAGAAAATGACAGATGAAGTGGTGTTGATATTATGGGTAATGGCAATTCTTAAACCTCCCTTCTCCCACTAAGCGGAAGAGTTCCAGTTCTCACCTGAGCTGCACAAGTGTGTTTTAACCCCACAGGGATAATCTGTGGCTGTGTGTGGCGTGGTGGGTGTGCTCCTCTGTGTGAGGAGATCAGCCATAGGTGCTGCTGTGGCTGAGAGCCACCTGTAGAGAGAGGGATATGTGCTCCTGCTGCATTGGCAGCTACATGTATCTCCATCTTACCAATACTGCTGGTGAGACAGAGGTTTTGGTAAAACTGCTGATGTCACGACTTCAGTGGCATCTTGCTGCTCTCCTGCTGCTGTGTTTTGCAATGCTGTTGGTATAATAGGCTCATTATCCAAATGGAAGCCTTCCCTTGCAAGCTGTGTGGCCTTGATGAAGGGGATTGTTTGTGGGAACTGTTCTGTGCCTTCTCTCAAAGGGCTGTGCCATTCTTGCCTGGGGGGCTCGAGCAAAGCTGTCTCTTTCACTGCATCCCCCAGTTATCCCAGCTGAGGAGGAGCTATGAGAAGCTGCAGAAGAAAAAAACAAGGGGAAGCAGAGGAGAAGTTAACAAGGGATCAGAGGAGGAGGATTTTGAATTGAGTCATCTGACCAGGAAGCTGGAGGTGTGTAGTGAAAAACCAAGTGCTAACCAGAATTTGTATGTATTTACTGACTTACTGGGCTGCACCAGTGACTGGATAGTCCACTAGGAAGTGGGCAATGAATCCTGCTTAAGAAGTGCTGTCCATCCTCTCTCTGGGTATAGTTCTTCTCAACTGCTTGTGTAATAAAGGCAGTTCCCTCTGAGTACACAGGATAAACCTTGGTGCTGTTCTTACTCTTAGACTAAATAAAAGGAAAAAGGTGCTGGAAGGGTAATTAAGTGAATGGAATGAATTCCAGTGTGAGGAGGTTGTATTCTCACTTCTTTGAGGAGGAGGAGGAGGGAGCTACCTGTCAAGCTTCTTCTCAACCCTGTGTCATCTTTTAATCTTTTTGCTCTGATGAGCTCAACCCCACTCAGTCTTCTCCTCCTGAAGACATGGCTAAGACACACACCTCCCCACGTGACGTGGTGCCAGTTTCTGGGGCAGAGATTAGCATTCTAGTTCTGTAGTCCGTTCTTGCCATCCTAGTGATCTCAACAGTCAGTCTGAACTGTTAAACCCCTGACAGCAAATCCATGAAACTAGCCACCAATCTGTTGGCACTTATCATTTGTAAACAGCAGTAACTGCCACTGAGGCTTTGGCTGGGGAGCAGAGCACAATGAGTGAGGGCTCTGCACTGCTGAGCTGCTGCATCAGGTGAGTTTCCCTGCTGTGGGGAAAGGTGTGTGGTGGGGAGAGAGCAGACGTGGATGAGAAGTGGAAGGGGATGTACTGCTCCTTGCAGGAGTTCCGTCAGAGGTCCCTTGACTGGGAGAAGCAGCGCCTGCGGTACCAGCAGCAGGTGGCATCGCTGGAGGCACAGCGCAAGGCTCTGGCCGAGCATTCTGAGCTCGTTCAGGTACAGTTAGCATGTGCTGGGAGTCTGTGTCTTGTTTGTGGGAGGGAGGGAGGGGGGAAGAGGGAAAGGCTGATGAAGTCTTTCCATCCAGTTCAGCTTTGCCGTTGAAGTGACTTCTGACATCCCAGTGGAATAAGGTTTACTTGTATGAGTGCTGCATGGAAAAAAGATCTGGAGTCTGTCAGCAGAGATTAGGCAAACCTTGTGCAGCTCTCTGTGCCACCACTCTGGTTAGCAGAGGAGACAGTAGGATGCAGCTTTCCCTGGGAGGCAGAGACCACAGCATATGACACTTTAAAATAGCTGTTAGATCATGTTGTCTAGTTGCAAGCTGCGTACCTGCCAGCAGCTAAATACGTACCTTATGGGTCCAGCTCAGAAGGTGCTCTTGGAAAATAGTCTTCCCCTACAAGAGAGACTTCCACAAAGTACTGGAGTGACAGCAGTTTTCAGCCCCCCTTGTTTCTGTAAGGTCTCTTGAGGCAGGGAGGAGTGGGGCTGCTGTTCTGCAAAGCTCCCTGAGTTAGTGGTGCTGCAGCAGAACAGGATGAATTGACCTAGAGCACAGCTGTGAAGTCACACTGACACAATCACAGCAGACACTGATAAGAAGCTCTTGCTGGGGCCTTTGCACTTAATGGGCTCCTGAGCTGCTCTTGAGTGGAAGCTCCTGCGAGGAGGGAGCCTGTGATGACAGGGTTGAAGCTGGCTCTGACAGGGGCTTTGTGAGAGGCTGACACCAGTACATCTACAAATGCAGAGAGAGTCCTTGAGCAGAAGGTTTGGCTGCTCTGCTGTCTTTGTGTGGCTGATGGCTCAATTGTCTGGGAGCAGCTGTGTCCTTGGAGCGCAGGGTGGGACGCTGGGATGAGCAGGAACTCTTCTGGTGTGCAGCAGGAACACAGGGATTTGGGGAGGTGGCTCAGGTGTGCAGGTCCTGTGAACAGGCTGCCTGAACTCTCAGTTGCTTTGAAAAGCCCAGCATGGAAGTGCTCAAGTTTCGCCTTTGATGTTTCTGCATGTTTTGTGCACTTGGTTTTCTCTCTGGCACAAGGTCAAGCCAAGTCCATGACCACGGAGCACTTCCCGTCTCCCTGCTTTCATCCTCACACCGTGCAGAGCAGGTTAGGGAAGCCTGACACTCTTCCCCAGTGCTGAGCACCTCGTGGAACACCTGCAGCCTTTCAAGTCAGCAGGTGAAACCTGGAATTCTGTGCTGGCCTGCAAGTTCTGTGGCTGGAAAGAAGAGATAGCTTAAATGTGTTCTTAATGCAGAGATAAATATTCAGGCAGTCTGGTACTCTGGTTTCTGGGGTGAGGAGAGGCTGTTCTTTACTCTTGCCCCTCCTGATTACCTTTTTTGTCACGACTCTTCAAGTAATAAGAAAAGGCTGTAATCAAAATTATGCTGTAGTTTTGCAAATGCACAGTTCCTATAGTTTTCTCAGTTCTGAGGCACATTATATGTCAGGCAATAAATAAATCAAAGCATGTGGTGATTCTGAAGCTGGCAGAAATTGCTGCTCTTAGAAATTGGGAGTATAAGACTACTCAAATATTTTGTTTCAGCCTTTACAAATTCAAAGGTTCTTTGCAGAAAGGGAATATCTAAAGTGAATGTTCTTGGAAGCTCATATGAGAGTGGCTCGTTAAATTCTACCAGCTAGCTGTGTGGAAAGAAATGCTGTGAAATAAAGTATTGTGCCTATAAATAATAGAGCATGTATTGTCTGCTAGTCATATGCTCCTTGGAACTTTTTTTGTCTGCCATTAAAACAATGAAACATTCAAAGTGAGTGTTCCCACAAGCTGCTGGAACCAGGTATTTACTGCAGGGAGCAAAGCAAATTGGCTGTTAGACCCTGTTTTGGGCTGTTTGGTGGTTGTGGGTTGTTTTTCAATTGTGCACCCAGAGCTGTTTTCTGTCCTGGTGTGGAATTAACAGTTGGGTAATCTCTGACTTGTGCATGGTATCTACAAAACTCCTTACCTGCAGCCCTTTGTCCTGGTCCAGCCTTGGGTTTATGAGTGGAAAGTAGCAGGTGGCTTTGTTCTTAGACAGTTCATACTCAGACAGCTGGAGTGGTTTGAGATCCTTGTTTCCCAGATTCCCTTTGGAATCAGACAGGCCTCGCTTTTTTATGGATATATGTTTATTATTTGCCTTCAGAAGCTTTGCCTATCCTGTAACCCTGCAGCAACACTCTCCCTGCTTCCCTGGAAGGAAGTGTTCATAGAATCATAGAATCAGCCAGGTTGGAAAAGACTTCCAAGATCATCAAGTCCAACCCTACCATGGTTACTGGACCATGGCAATAAGTACCACATCCAGTCTCATCTTGAAAACCTCCAGGGATGGTGAATCCACCACCTCCCTGGGCAGCACATTCCAATGCCTGATCACTCTCTGTAAAAAATCTCTTCCTAATATCCAACCGAACCCTCCACTGGCAGAGCTTGAGTCTGTGCCCTCTTGTCCCTCTTGTCCTTGTGTTGCGTACTTGGAGGACGTGGCTCGTTACACAAAGAAATCACTGGCGGTTTTAATTGTAGTTTTGATAGAACTTCTGTTGTTTTGTGTAATTGAGCTCTAACGCGAAGGAATTGCTGTTGGCAGAGCCAGCTGGCCAATCGGAAGCAGATCCTGGACTCGGTGGAGCTGGCCAGCCGCTCGGAAATCCAGCACTTAACCAGCAAGCTGGAGAGGGCCAACGACACCATCTGCGCCCGCGAGCGCGAGGTGGAGAGGCTCAGCATGAGAGTGGATGACCTGACCGAGAGCAAACGGATCATCCTGGAAGATCAGCAGAGGGTTGAAGAAGAATTAAGGCAGTCCAAGAAGAAGTTAGAGGTCAGTGGAGGAACTGTTAGGAAACTGAACCTAAAGCAGTGCTGGTGAGAAGTAGCAGGAAGACTCTTCATCCCAGAGTTCCTGCCTCTTTCCAGAGCCTTTGTAAAGTTCCTGGCTGGGCTCAAAGCTGGCTTTGTACTCATGTGCTGCTCTGTAGTGTTTCCAAGGGTCCTAAAAAACCTGATCAACCTCTCATCACGTTACAACAAACTGGTTTGGTCCATCTTGCAACAGTCATTCCTTCTCCCTCCCGTGCAGGTGCTGCAGGATGAGAAGATGGAACTGAGAGCCACCTTGCAGTCTCAAGAAGATTTCATTGACAGCTCCAAGCTGCACCAGGAACAGTTACAGAAGGAGCTGAACAGAATGACTGAAACTCTTCACACAAAAGAACTCTTCATCAGGTAGCACCTATGCCTCACTGGGCTCTTGAATCCAGATTAGCATTCCAGGGTGTCCCGCTGAGGGCAGTAGCAGCATTCTCACACAGGTGGATCCATGTTACTTATATCTAACTGCACTGCAGTTTCTCACAAGTGCTGTGCTGCCTTGCAGCCTTTGCCAAACTGCAGTGCTCTGGAAATCAGCTGGTGCTCAGTGAAGGGTGTGGAAGGAATCAGCTTTCTCCTCAGCTGAGTTTCTGGAGGCAGCACAGGGCTTTAGAGGTTTCCCCCAAGCACTTCCAGTCAAGGGCTGGAGGCTTTTCAGGGTTTGATAACATGCTTATTAATATAGCTGAAAGTTCTCACTGATTTCATGATGTCAGGTTGGGGCTTAGTGAGGTAACTACATATGGGACAAAATCATCTTGGCTTTCCCCTTCTGGCAGTGTACAGAAGCTGTTGGGTTCTGGTGGCTGTGTCAGAAGGTTTGGGTGTGTGTCACCAGCCAGACTGTCTCTTGCAGGGAGGCCAACATCAGGCTCAAATGTAGTCTTTTTCCAATCAGCCTGAACTCCAGCTGGGGCTGTCATCCAGCTGCTGTTTGCTTATTCACACTGCACACAGGGGTCACCTGCTCTTGGTTTCTCTGTGTTTTTCAGAGAGTTCCAAGAAAACAGTGGTTATGTTCCCTGTATTAGTGAACTCAGACATGATGTTTCTGCGCAGGGCCATGGAGGAACGCTTGCAAGGGAAGCAGTTCTGTTCTCCAGGGCTGGAGCTGGAGCACATATTGCTGGAGCTGGATGTTGCCCAGAGGAAGGAACAGCGCTTGCAGGCAGAGGTGACTCGTCTGGAGAACAGGTAGTCCACTGCTTGCTCCCCCTGGGAGTGCAGTTCATCTTGGATCATAACACAACACCTAATAGATTGTTTCCATCAGGTTAACCAGCCCCACTGATTATTGTAGGCTTGTTTTAAGTATCAAAGGGCTAAAGAGATCAAGTGCTCTTCAGTTTTTGCAGTATCTTGCTAATTGCTTGGCTGCTTTTCACTGCACACTGTGAGTGTGCACAGTGTTTCATCTTGCTTAGGCTTAGCATTTTCCCAGTAGCAGGGTAAGGAGTCTTTGTTAGGCAGCTGGTAAGGACCAGATCGATTGCTTCCAATAAATGAGAGTTATAAACAAGTTTTCCTAAAGAACCTGTGGAGTCCCCATCCCTGGAGGTGTTCAAGACCAGGTTGGATGGGCCTTAGAGCAACCTGGTCTAGGGGGTTGGATTGAGATGAGCTTTAAAGTCCCTTCCAACCCAAACCATTTTGTGATTCCTCTCTTGAGCTTGTGGGTTTCAGGCTCATGTTGGATGGGAAGTTTGTAATCTTAGTATGGTAAAGAAACAAACAAGAATCAGCTTTTCTCTGTTAGATCAGCTGCCTGATCTCTTTTGAAAAGACTTTGGACAAACCCAAGGGATTGGTAAGGAACTTCGGGGTTGAGAGTCCAGTTCCTGTTAGACCGACGTAGGAGACTGCTTGTAAGGTCCAAGTTGCTCTGGCCATGTCCTTCTCCTTGGAGTATTCTAATCTAACTTCCACATCTGGCACCAGCCTGGTGTCTTCAAATGCCAGGTGTGTACAGCTGAGCGAGGAGCTGGATGAGAGTGTCAGAGAGCTGCAGTCCACCCAAGGACACCAGTCGGAGACAAAGGCGCAGATTTTAAAGGTAACGTGGCTTTGTTCCCTGGGACTGGGAAGGCACTGGAGGATTCAGCCATTCCCATGTGTGTCATGAGCCTCAGCAGCACAGCTCCAGTGGGACCAGGGTGCTGTGGAGACAGGGATATGCTGGAGGTGAGGAGCATACCCGACACAGTTGAGAGGATATGTTTGCAGGTGTCTGAGCTTGGCTTTGTGAACATATCCTGGGCCTACCCCTACATCCCACAGTACTCTTGTGTACTGTCCAGACACCCAAGTTAGTGCTGGAGGGGCAAATGTGCAGTGAAATGAAGGTCTGGAATCCTGAGGTTAAGCCTGATACAGGCTGAAGACCTGAGAGGGAATGGGTCTTGCTGTAATGTGTCATATCACAGGCTTCAAGGCTTGTTTAGCCTGGAGAAGAGGAGGCTCAGGGGAGACCTTATCACCCTCTGCAACTCCCTGACAGGAGGTTGGAGTCAGGTGGGGGTTGGTCTCTTCTCCCAGGCAACCAGCAGCAGGACAAGAGGGCACAGACTCAAGCTCTGCCAGGGGAGGGTTAGGTTGGATATTAGGAAGAGATTTTTTACAGAGAGAGTGATCAGGCATTGGAATGTGCTGCCCAGGGAGGTGGTGGATTCACCATCCCTGGAAGTTTTCAAGCTGAGACTGGATGTGGCACTTAGTGCCATGGTCTAGTAACCACGGTAGGGTTGGACCCGATGATCTTTGAGATATCTTCCAACCTGGCTGATTCTGTGAAATGTGTTCTGGTCTGTGTGTGAGTGAGGGAGTTTGTTTCAGGCTCGATACCTAGACATGAAGCCAAGGGCTGGAAGGAATGGAGCAGCTCATCTGCCACGAGGGCCTCACCCCCCCAGTGCTCTGGCACCCAAGTGGGGCAAGGCCTCCATGTGGCTTGGCTTTTAATAATGGTCTGGATCAGCTGCTGTGAGAGCTTTCACGGCAGCCTGGTAGAGGAGAAACCTCATTGAACTTGATTGAAAAAACCTCAGTCCTGTGGAAATCCTTCATCCTTTACTCTGGATGTACAGAGGTGCAGATCTTGCCAGAGATGTGTGCTTGGTTACACATTTACACAGCCACACAGTAAATGAATCTCTCATGGGCTGCTGGGGTGGAGAGGGAGATTTATGGTGGCTGTTTCTGTTTTATATACTTGGGAGGCATTGAGGTGACACAGAGATAAATCACCCTGTGTACAGTATTTACATGGCTAGGCAGAGATCATCTGGTTCAATTTTCTAAAATGCTTGTAATTCTCAGAAAAATCCTGGATGTTTGGGTGGTTAATATTTCTGACTAATGGAATGGAATGCTGGGGGAGAAATTATGCTGCTGTTGTTCTGTTGTGTCACTGAATAAATATACAGTGTGCCTGCCAGAACAGTGCATGCAGTGCAGGTCTGCCACCTCAGAAAGGATCGACTGAACCAAGATAAGGTATGGAAAAAGATGACCGAAAGGATGGAGTGGTTTTTGCACAGGGAACAGCTGAATGGAATTGGACTTACCAAACTGGAAAAGAGATAAATGAGATTGAATAGACTAAAAATAAAATCATGCCTGTCATGTGAAAAGTAAATAGGGAATGATGATTGTCTCATAATGCAGGGACTAGTGGTCATCACAGGGAGTTATGAAAACAAAGAGGTGTATTTTTACCCTGTGTGGAGCTGCCTGGTGGAAGTTTGCCATGGGTAGCATCAGTTGCTATGAGCTAATATCCATTCAAAAGACTTAGGACAAATTAATTCCTGGAAGAAAAATATGGCTAGAGCTATTTAAAGTCCCCATCTTTAAATGGTATCTTTAAATACCTCAGGAAGCAGAGTGTGAATTGCAGGGGTGCATTGTCCAAGTGTTACTGTGCTTGCCTGGTGGTGCTGAACCTTTGGCTCTCTGGTCTGGCCACCAAGGCACAGTGCTGAGCTGAAGAGACACTGCTTTGAGCAGTTATGGGTCTTCTCAAGTACTTCACAGCATGTAACTTCTGTCCTGTCCCAGCTGGCAGTTTATGGTGTGGGAAGGGATTGGGATGAGGTGGCTTTCAGTTAGGAATGACAAGCCTTGGGCTTGTTACCTAGAGCTTTTTGTTCTCCAGGACTGAGATTTCACATGTAATGCTTCTGCTTTTTCTTTTCTGAAACATCTTTTGAAAGCTTGTGGGTGGTGTGTGCATATCTTGCTGCAGCTGAAGGAGCAGCTCTCTCATGCTGAACTGAGGCACAGCAGTGAGCTGGAAGGGATGAGAAGGGAGATCTCCAGGCTGACACAGGAGCTGCACCAACGGGACATCACCATTGCCACGGCAAGTGGCTCCACGTCTGACCTGGAGCAGCGGCTGAGGGCAGAGATTGAAAGAGCAGAGAGGAAAGCTGCAGAGCACAGGGTAAAAAAAGGCAGAAGACTCTTATGCTGTCTATTTAAGGGATCTGAAGGCTGGGAATACCATCCTGCTTTTTAGCTATGTTAATAGTTTCCTTCTCTCTTTAGCCTTTGAACACTTTAGACTTTAAACCCTTCTGATGAAATCTTCCAATTATGGTGCTCACTGAATCTGTCTTGCTGCTTCTTTTTCAAAGCAGTAACTGACAGTCCCACAGAATTCTTTGGGATCACTCATTCTAGCTAGTCCTGAATGATGACATCTTTGAAAACTCAAGTAAATGACTGTGCATGGTTATTTTTATGGCCTTCTCTATAGGGTCCCTGCAGAACTAATGGCCCAGACTTTAATCTGTGCTTGAATTTGAGGGTGGAAAGTATTTGGAGGGTGTTGTGGGCATGTGCTGTGTTCTTTTTCTGAGCTTGTTGTTTGCCTTTGTCTCCTCAGGTCATTCTGGTCCAGCTGGAAACCCTCAAGCAGGAAAACTGTCGCCTCTCCGAGATGCTGGAGAAAGCAGAGAGTGGTGTGCTGGAGGTATGGGTCAGGGCCCGGAGGTGGAAAGCCTTGTCTTCCTGCCTGGGAACAGTCAGAGGCTTTGCCCAGGCCTCTCAAAATGCATGGTAGAGTTCAGTGAACCTAAAACCCAAGCAAAAGGGGCAGTGTGTGAGGAAATACTGAGCATTTGTTCTGTCAGAGAGAGGTGAGGAGAGCTGCAGGAACAGAGCAGTCACCTCAGGCTACTCCCTGTGGGCTCATATGTTTTACTACATTTGTTCCATCTCCATTTTATGCCAGTTTACCTCAAACCTCTGATTCTGTGACATCCCTTTGACCTGTCCCAGGGCTGTAACTGCTCTGGTCCTTGCAGTGTTTGAGGTGAGAGCATGTTCTCCCCGGCTGAGGAGCCATTCAGCAGAGCTATCCCTCACACTCTAGGGGCAGGTTGCAGTCTGGGAATATGGGCTGGATGCCTTGGGACAGCATGCCAGGAATCCTTGGTTTGGGCTCCAGCTGCTGTGACACTCTGAGGTTTGATGAGGCCCCCTCAGCCAGTGGGGAAAAGGAGAACCTGCATGGAAGAGGTGCAGCCTTGGCAGGAATAATACCTTGGAGTTGCTTCATTTTAGTGCCTGTGTGAAGGAAGAAGTGGCTAGTTTGCGAGTTCTGACTCACCTAAAGCAGAATGGATGCTTCCCAGGGGGCAAGGGCTGGATTCAGACAGCTGACAACCTAATGGGAATGTATCAGAGCTTTTATCCTGTCAGATCTGTGGGAAGAAAATACTCAGCTCTTAGTTTAGGGTGATTGTCAAATGTGCCACGTTCCTGGGAAAGTGTTGAACATATGCTTGTGGCTGGTGAGACAGAGAAAAACCAGAGTTTTCCCGAGGGCTGATTTGAAACTGAAATGACCTAAGGCCCATTAGTTTCTGCTTGACAACTGCCTGGTGGATTTTGCTTGCCTAACTTCCCAAAATCTTGGTAGCAGAGTGCAAAGCAAGAAATCTGTTGAAAAAAGAAGAAAGCCCCACAGCCCCATGGCACAGGAGCTGCTGGTCCTGGCCAGATGGTCCTGAGGCACATTTGGAAAGGCTTTAGGTACAGCAGTGATGTGAATGAATTAGGCATCTAAATGTAATAGAACTGGCAAAAAAGAATGTCACAGAAGTAGAACTAGTGGAGGACGTCCACCTGGCCTAGGAAGGAGGAGATGGGCAGAAGCCAGTTGTTCAGAGTTTCAGAGAGAAAGGCCAGAGGCAGGTACATCTGAACTGTTCTTGCTCTGTGTCTTCCTGTTTTCAAAAACACTCAGTGGTGAGAGACTCCTTCCCCAGGTGGATCAGCACAGCTTGTCTGGATGCAGACCCAGGAAGGCATCTGTAATTGATTTGCTCTTAGGAAAGCCCTGAGAGTTTTCCAGGCTAAGTCGAGATTAGAGCATATGCCTTAAGGAATCTCTTGCTGGATTTTGCTCTGGATGTGACTGTGGTGTGTTGCAAACCAGAACCTTTTACTTTAGCCCCTCTCTGTCTGTCAGGGAGCAGATGTCACCCTGAGACCACTCGCTGAAGACTACGCTGTTGAGCTGAGGAAGTTGAGGTCTGAGAACCAGCAGCTGCGGAAGGATCTCGCAGAGACCAGGGCGAAACTGCAGGTCTGCCTGGATGAGCCTAAGGGCACTGCTCAGCAGGGGCAAGGTGGAGAGCCTGAGACCAGGGATGTGCAGTACAGGTGAGTGTGGCAGGGCCCCGAGGTTGCTGTTTGAGGGTGAAGCAGAGCCAGAGGTGTGGGGACGTGTGGGTGTCATGATGTGCTGTCCGGAAGGATCTCGCAGAGACCAGGGCGAAACTGCAGGTCTGCCTGGATGAGCCTAAGGGCACTGCTCAGCAGGGGCAAGGTGGAGAGCCTGAGACCAGGGATGTGCAGTACAGGTGAGTGTGGCAGGGCCCCGAGGTTGCTGTTTGAGGGTGAAGCAGAGCCAGAGGTGTGGGGACGTGTGGGTGTCATGATGTGCTGTCTGTGGGGACGTGTGGGTGATGTGCAGTCACCAGGGATGTGCAGTACAGGTGAGTGTGGCAGGGCCCCGAGGTTGCTGTTTGAGGGTGAAGCAGAGCCAGAGGTGTGGGGACGTGTGGGTGTCATGATGTGCTGTCTGTGGGGACGTGTGGGTGTCATGATGTGCAGTCTGTGCAGCATCTCTCTGCAGCACATGGTGTGTCTGGGAGAGCACGAGGACTGCTGGGGACTCTGTGCTTTAAGCAGTGCAGTAGCTTTGAGTCCCAGCTGGTTTGTGTTCTGCAGACCCAGCAGAGTTGGTCTGTCTCTTGCCTGCCTTTGTCTCTCCCTCTGATGGAGTCTGTGCTGCTCTCAGTGTGGGGGTTAGATGTGGCCTGGGTGGTTGTGCTCCTTCCTTCCCCCATCCACTTCTAGGATGTGCAGGCTGTAGATTTTGCCTATCTACAGCAGCAGAAGAGAGAGAGAGAGAGAATTCCCTAGGGACTGGATGTGCATCTGGAAGTCCTATGGAAATGAGCCAGTTTGGATTGCAGGGCTGTTAGTAACATCTCTGTTAATTGTTATCTCCCTGCAAGTTTCTCCTGGAGTTCAACTTCTAAGAGGCAAACTCAGTTCTGTGCTCAAATCTGCCTTCCAGGACAGCTCAGGAAGCACAGCAGCCTGAACAAGCAGAGGGATATGGGACTGCTGAAAGAGGAGCTGTGAGCCCTGAGACAGGTGAACCACCCTCCCAGACCAGCAGGAAGAACTGCAAGGAGTCACCTGCCTTGCTGGGAGCAGAGTCTTTGCACCATGTGGGGGATGAAAACAAAGATTCTGCAGATGAAGCATCTAAGCAGCCTGTCTCGAGTCATCAGAGAGAATCTGTGCCCTTGGTAAGCAGTTGTATAGGAGCTGGGTGCTATTCAGCAGCTGAAAATAGAGCTGGGTTCTCACCTGGCTAGAGGATCCAGATTTCTGGGTGCCTGGTCTGGCTGCATGGTGTGTGTGACTTTGCAAATGTTGAATAGGGAGGGAAAACCACTGATGGATGGTTCATACTTGGCCCCTGGGATCCATGTGGTGGTTCTTCCCTGGGGAAGGGCTTTGTATTTGGTATGACTGCTAAGCTAATGCCAGGAGCTCATGGTTCTCTCCATGCTGGTGCTGTACCTCAGTGTGTACCATGACCTGTTTATGCCACCTCAGAGTTCTGCTTCAGCTTTTGGCTTGGCCTTGTAGTAGAGGCTCAGAGTGGATGCAGAGTGCTGAGTATTTCAGTGTTGTACACAGTCTCTGGGTGAGTGTGGAAGCTGGTGCTGCCCATCTGTAGTGATCAGGGTGAGCCTGACCCCTCTGGATGGGGCTGCAGCAGTCAGCACACTGAACCTAAAGCTGCTTATGCTAGCTGATGGCAGAGCCTAGAGTCCATGCTTCACTGCTCAAGGGGAGGCTGCTATTTTTCACAGTTGCTGATCATACTTTTTAGTAGGGAGCAGTGTTGGCAGTTTCTCTGTCCTTTTCCCTTCGCTCAGTTGCTGGAGCACTTGCCCAAGATAGAGGAAACTTGGGCTGAATCACTTCTTCCTGTAGCAGTTCAGCGAGGGGAGAATGCTGAGTGGTGGTCCTTGCTCCAGATGTGTTGCCCCTAGCAATGTTCAGAGCATTTTCTCCTCTGTGTGTGTTGTTAGCAGTGACAACAGCTATTCTTTATTCTGTGGGAGCCCAGAGAAGAGGCTCTTAAGGCTGATGCACAGATAAGTGGAGGCTTGTCAGGTTTGTAGATTTTGATGAGATTTACTACAAGGAATAGATCTTCCTTGTTTGAAGAGTAAAGTAGCTTGTGGGCACGTCCAGAAAGGAATATTGGGAGCCTAGGGAACTGCAGTGTTCTAAATGGAAACTCTTCAGGTTTCAGTACACAGGGTCTGAGAAGCTCTAGGGCTTGATGCTTAGTCAAAGAGAATGTGCTACTTCTTGTTCTGAGATGTACAAATGAGGTTTCTAAGGAAATAGAGATATTCCACCTGGGGCTGACTGGGACCCCCTGCTCGTGGTCAGGCTCCAGGGTCTTTAAATCAGTTCCTGTGGCATTAGGAGAGGAGAACTCTCATCAGTAGGCAGTAGTGGGGTGGGAGAGATTTGCTTGGTATCTGCAGGCTTTTCTGTTTGCCTCTGTTCCTGGCTGTTGATAAAAGACCTGAAAACCACGAGGCTGCAGGATTTGGAAATAAACAGTTACATTCTCTTGCCAAGACACTGAGTCTTGTCTGTAATGGAAAGCAACCCCTTAGTAACCTTGTGGTTCATGTGCCAGCCCCTGTGCAGGAGGCTTCTTTTCATCAGCCTGTACATTAAGCCTAGTTTACAATGTTGTTTTTGTAAGTTAATAACTTGTGGGTAAGTGATGTTAGGAGCAGGAATAGTTCTTGACTGTAAAGGAAAGAATCTGGAGTAGTTTATTGACCATTGCTGGCAGGGCTGAAGTGCTGTTCCAGGAGCTGTGATGGGAGTTTGGCCTGTGGGATTGTACCAGGAGCCCAGTGTTTCGGGGAAGAAGAGGAAATATGTAAAAGAAAGCAGATATCTCACCAGTGCTGGTCCCATCTGGCAGTGCTTCCCTTCCCCTGGAACCCAAACTCTGAGGTGCTGCCACTCACTGAGGTTTTTATGAAGACAAGGAGCAGGATGTAGACCTTGATTTGCACTAGCAGCCAGGACAAAGCCCTTGACCTGCTCTACCCCCCAGTGCTCAGAGAGAAGTATTAGGCTGGCAGAGTGTGTGCTGAGGTGCTGATATTTTGGCAAAGGCTTGGGAGGCTTTCCCTGCTGGCTGGAGGCTGCTGTGGGGCTGTTGATCTGTGATAGGATGGTGCTCAGTCTGCCCAGTAAGATGGAAACAACCCATGAGCCCTTTAAGAGCAGGTTCAGTGTTGTGTTTTGTGGATCAGGCTGTTTCTGGCCGAAACTCAGTGACAGAATACTGGATATCCCTTTGTTTCCTTCTAGTGCCCCTTGCCTACAGCTTCTGTTGGATCCATAGCTGCAAGGTTCCTGGAAGAAGAAGAAGTGAGATCTCAGCACATCCTGGAGTGCCTGAATGCTCACATTGAGGAGCTGAAAAAGCAGAGTGCAAAGATAGTGAGGCGGTTTGAGCACCAGGAGTGATGTTTGTCGTGGAACTCGAGTGCTGGATTCCTTCCCTGGTTCCACACTGTGACTGGGGAGGTGCCTACAAACCAGTTGTCATCAGAGCTTGAGGGAGAGGCCACGTGTCCCACTTGGAGCTGAATCAGCAGGATGAGAGCTGAGGAAAAGGAACTCTTCTCCCATGTGTTTGATCTGGTGGAGACTGTGACACCACAAACTCCTTAGGTTGCTGCAGCCAGAAACCTGCCCCAGGACTGTGTGTTTCTGCACTCACTGACTAAGGCTATTAGCCATTTGCTAATTTTAGTGTAGAGTATTTTAAGTATATTTTATACATGTCAAAGTACAGAAATAAAACAGAATGGCAAACACTTCTTTTCTTGTTCATGCAAATGCACTGAGTGAATCTCCTGTAGCTTATCTTGCCTTTTCATCAGGAACTTGGATCAACACCTCTTCCATCCTAGCATAGCTGTGTTCTGCAGGGAACAAGGAGTATAATTCCTTTCTTTTAGGCTACCTGTATTTTCTCTAGTTAATTTGCCCTTAGTGGGATCTCTTAACATTTCCTGTGTTTTGCAGCTCCTGCTCCTTGCTGTTTGTGCAGTGTCTGGTGTCTTTGTCTTGCCGTGCACAGTGCTCAAAGTGCTGCAGAACAGCTGGGCCATGAATGGCTGTGTTCTGATTGTGGTCACAGCTCTTGGGAAAGGAAGGAGAGTAGCTGGAATGGGAAATGACATCAGATAGGAGGAGAGTGCACAAATGAGTGAGGTTTGTCCATGTGCAGATGCCATTGCAGCTGGTGCCAGCCTGGTTTGAGTCTGGGCAGTGTTGAACACTGTCCAGTCCAGTTCAACTGCTGCATTAACAAACATCTGTGGCCTCTTTGGGGGAATATATTCAGCACTTCAAGGGAAGTGAGTTGTTAAAGAGTGAGCAGAACTTGTTTCCTACAGACTTGCCTTTCTTCCATGGGCTCTCTGAAGTTCTCCTGTGTCTGAGCCTTCATAGCCTTTGTACAGGCAAACCTAGGGGTGGAGACATCCCTTGTGCATGTCCACAAGTTTCCTGTTCCTTTCCATCAGCTTCACCTTGTGTTAGAGCAGCTTAGTGCTGCCAAAAACCAGGAGTTCAGAAGCACCACATGCATGGAAAACCCAACCATCAAGCCAGGCAGGAGTTGATGTCTGGCTGCAGACTTGGTCAAGCCACTGCATCCCAGAGTTCAAAAGCATTTGAATCCAAAAGTCCTTTCGTTCTGGAGCTGTTTGAAGGGGGATAAACCCTTCAGATCTGCTCTGGGTTCTCCCTGTGCAGCCTTGGCAGTGAGGGGCTGAGCTGAGTGTCCTGCACACAGCGCCAGCTGCTGTTCCTCTGCAGAGCTGTCCACAGGGAAGTGCCTTTGCCACATCCACCTGCTCTGCCCAGGTCTCCAGTAAGGACTTGTTGGTAGTTTTGACAAAACCTGAACAGCAAAACAGAACAAATTGTTATTTCCTCTGCCTGGAGAGAACCTACAGATTCACTGAGTGCGTGGTGTGCCAGAACTCCTCGCAGGGATTCCTTGTGTCCCAAGTGATGCCAATAGTTTCATGGCTTGAATGATGCCTTACAAGCAGTATTAGATCTCCTGAAGATTTGTAAGGTAAGTCACTGAGAGTTGCACCTAGAAGACGTTTTGGCTCGTTACTGATGTTCACTTTCATGTCCCTTTCCTTTAGAGACATTTGGCAGTCCGTGCTGCCAGAAGGGGAGAGCAAACCCGAAGATGATCCATTAGCAGCTATAATTCTACAGTATTTATCAATTTCTAATACCTGTAATGAGCAGCTTCAGTCAGGGAATAGGCTGTAAAAAGTTGAACCAATGTGGTTCAAAGTGAACTTTGCAGCAGGAGAGCTGCTGAGTTATTTCTCTGTGCTGGTGTGTGTGCACTCTGCCTTTCCCACCTTCTCCCTCTGCAGATGTCCTGAGATAACTGGGAAGTCTGTTCCAGGGCTGTTCTGGTGTTGGAGCTTTGGCTGTGCTGAAGAATGTGCATTTTTTATGAGGGGGAGGAGGAAAAGCCGTGTTTATCCTGCAGGGAGATGTCACAGCAAGTACAGACTTCTGAGGTGCTTTTATCTGGGGCTGCAGGGTTTTTTGGGCATTCTCTGCCTTTGCAGTGTCAAACCTCTCCTGGAATAATCACCTGGCCCTGGAAACTTTATAATTAATGAAGCTGGAGAGGGGGTTTGTGCCTTTGAACTCATGCCTCGATAGCACTAAAGAATTTTGGTACATTTGCAGGGCTGAGACAGATGTTTGTTTTCTGGTTGAGACAAAAGTGTGGAACGAACTTTCCAGTACTTCCTTTTGTACCAGCCTAACACTTCCAGAGTGGGAAGCTGTGCAGGCTCTGTCTGTCTGCAGTGTGCTGCAGATGTGACAGATGCTATGGTGTGACAGTGCTTAGAGGGATTAAAGACTCTCTCTGTGCCTCTCTAGGTGTAAGTTCAGGTGGGTTGGGTAGCAGGGAGAGGGAATGTCCCCCGAGGTCTTGCTAGGTAGGAGCAGTGGTGGACAAACTATCCTCTCTACTCTCTTGGGGTAATTTTTTGTTCCCCTGCTGTCTTGAGACAGAAATGGAGCATGTGGGGTTAGAGAGAGACCTCGTGCAGGTGAGTCTGAGCCAAGCAGCAGGGTCTGTGTTGGTGTCACCCTGGGGAGAGGCTTCACCTGTGTGTGGCTTGTGCCTGTTTGTGTCCGTGGGAGTGAACACCCAGGGCTTGGTTCACCAAGGGTGTCTGTACTTCGGTATCCTTGACCCTGTTAATGTGGAAGAAGTTGTTTTATTCAGTTCCCAAGCTCTCTGGGATGCCTCTTTATCCTCCCATTGTAGGAAGTGATGTATTTGACTGGATCAGCTTGACCTGTGAAATGAAAGCTGCTGCAGCGTGTCCTCCTTGATCTGAGAAATGGGGTCTAGGAGGAAAGAATCCTTCTACTAGGCACCAAAATAAACCAGGGCTGTCTGTGCTGACAGACAGTACTTGCTTTTAGCCTTCAAGGTCCTTAGGCAATCAAAAAATCCCTGAGTCTGTCTTGTACCTGAGCTGCTTAGGCTGTGTGGATGCCCAGGGAGTGGATGCCTGCTGGGCTACAAGGCTTGTTAGTGTTCCTGCAGGGAGGAGCTGCTGCCACCACTTCTTGAGGGCAGAGACACTTAGCTCTTTGGGGGAGGACTTAAAACCTACTTTTATGCTGTGTATGGAGCCTCTTGTCTCCAAGGCCAGGAAGACCTCAAAGCATCACTGTACTTGCAGCACCTTGGAGTAAGCCTTGTTAGCTTATGTGCTGTGTTTGTGCTTGCAAGTCGTGTCTGCAGCAGCCTGTGTCCTCCAGGAGAGTGCTAGTACCTGAATGTGGCTCCAGGTGCTCCCTGCACTCCCTCCAAACGGGGCTTAAACCTGGATGCTGGGGAGGGGGAGCAGTGTAGGAGTGAGGCTGCTGCAGGTGGACACCCTGCAGGGTGTGAGTCCCTCCTGCCCCCAGCCACAGAGCAGCAGGAAAAACCCACTGCTCTGAGTGGGAACCAGCAGTTTCCTCAAGAGAGTTCATGTTGTTTGGTCAATGAAACAGACTGTAAAAACATAACAAGTTTATTTTCAACTCACACTCAAACACAATATCTCTCGGGTCATGCTGACGCTTACAGACATCTGAATCACTTATGAAGACGTTGCTTGATCTTAGGACATGCATTTGTGGTGGGGTCAGTAGGAGCCTCCCTTGGCCTTGTGCGTGGAGGCTTTTTCCAGGAGTACAGCACCAAAGAGTTTGTTCCATGAGCACGTCACTCAGCTGCTAGGCCACGTAGCCCCATCAGTCTGTAGCTGCAGTCTCACAGACAGGCTGGAGTAAGGAGTGATCTCTGACAACTTTATTCTCCATTTTCCTCTGGTTTTACTTACAGAAACACCTAATGCTTGAAAGACAATTACAGCAGGGAAAGTGTTTACAATACTCTGATATAAAAATGTAAAAATGATTTTGTTTATTGTATGTAGGAATCAGTGTAGAAAGGGATTTCTCAGTATCACCTAGGTCTGTAAGACAATGAAACACACAAGAAAACTGCACTTGTATCTTCTTCCTAACCCTTCTCCTCTTTGCAGCCTGACTAAGGATTTACAGAAACTCAGTTTAAATATCCTAAAGCTCTTTGTGTCTGATAGTGATGGTCATAACCAGAGTGCACTCCCTCCATCCTGTGCCGCCATATCTAGGTGAATTCTTCTTGGATAATCACTGTAAGATTTCTTATGGTCCATCACTTGGAAAGCTGCAATCACTGCTGGCACAGAATAACCTGTGGTTACACAGTCAGTTGTTTCCTTTGAGATATTTATCTGGACACTGTTACTGAAATGTATTTGAGGGTTTTATCTTGTGTCTTCCACTGCTTCTCCCTTCTTAACAGGATTTTCTGCTTCTTTGACCATCTTTGAGCCCATGGTCTTGCAAAAGCCTCCAGGTTTGACCTGCATGTGTCGAAGGAACACGTTTGGTTGAGAGGATGAGTGATCTCCTACAGCTGTGCTGTTCTGGGGCACGTTGGAAAGGTTGGTTCATGCAGGTGAGTGAAAGAACAAGGAGGGGACATTACTGGGTCTCAACTATGTACTTGAGGACGTGCGAGTAGAAGCTGTGGTTGGCGTTCTCGTGCACCATCACAAACACCTCCCTGCACCCCGAGGTGTTGCAGGTTCCCTCCCAGCAGCCTCTGTTCTCGGTGAGAGGGTAAGTGTCCTCAGCCTGAACGAGCACCTTCGCTACACTGTGCATTTTGAGTTTGAACTGGACGTTGCGGTTGGCTGGCAGCAAACCGGACAGCGGCTCCAGGATCTCGTAGTCTTCCAGCCACTTGCTGTAGCTCTGGGGGAAGGGTGGCCACTTCACCTCCCTGTTCAGGCACGTAATGAGGTAGTTGAAGACGTAGTCGTAATTGCCAGGATCCGACTTCTTCTTGGCGTAGATTTTCAGGACAAACTTCCCGGGGTGCGGGAGGTGGATCTTCAGCTCGATCTGGTTCCCGCGGTGGATCTGCATGATGTGCCTCCTGGCCACGTCCTCCGTCAGGCTGCTGCGGTCGGAGTGCAGCGTGGCCAGGACGCTGATGTCCCTGCCCAGGGTGAAGGTGAGGGAGCAGCGCCCGTCGTTGGTGTGGATGATGGGCTCGCAGTGTGATGGCCTCAGGAAGCCTTGGCGCTCCGAGAACCAGCTCGGCCCCACGGGCTGGTGCAGGTCCTTGGGGAAGCACATGGACTCGTCCACAGACTCACATTCCACGATGTACTTCAACACACATTCGTATACATCATCCAAATCCTCAGATTTGGAGGGCTTGGCAAAGATCTCCAGCTGGTGACTCCCTGTCTTCTGGGGGTAGATATCCAGCTTCATTCCTTTCTTTTTCAAGGTCATTAATCCATGTTCAGCTCTTCCCTTCAGCTTAAACATAAACAACATGCCACCACGGCAATCCACGGATACAGAGGCTTTCCCATTTACTAGGAGACACAAAATAAAAGAGACTCCATAGGAGTGTCAGTGTGTTTTTAGCATGTGTGCCCTGTTCTGAGAAGGCTAATCTGTCCCAGTAAATTGCTGCTTCTCCAGTGGTGAAACAAAGAGCTGCAATTGGCAGGTCATAGCTTGTCAGCTGTCTGCTTGTACCAGTGCCCCAGAAGAGCAAGGAGATGTTTTAGAGATGTGCATTAATCCTGTTCTGGTTACACTGAAATGGAGCTGTGACTGATAGGATATGAAGTAGAACTGAAACGCAACACCAGGCCAGGTTGGATGGGGCTTGGAGCAACCTGGGCTAGTGGAAGGTGTTCCTGCCCATGGCAAGGGGATGGAACTAGCTGATCTTTAAGGTCCCTTCCAACTTAAACCATTATAGGATTCTATAATGCTGTGATTGGCCCATGTGCTCATGAGGGGCTTAATTAGAAGTGATTAGACCCGATTACTAGTCCAGTAGCTGCTCCCAGAAGCTTCAAAGTGCAGGAATCCTCTAATATGTAGATATGAGACAATCAACCTCCCTCTGAGCCTGTTCCCAAACAGCTTGAAGACCTCATTAAGCCCTAAAATGTTGTTGCCTCTAAGTTTTAACTCTGTGTCCTTAGCGTTCATAAATTAGCCATCCAGTTGAATTTCTGCAGCTCTTTGAAAATCCTGGGGAGGTTATCTTAAACATGGGCTTTGTCATTCAGTGGTGGCACTGAGTGTCTTTATGTTAGAGGAGCTGCTGGACTTAGCTCAGAGTGTTCAGCACTGCCTAAAGAAGTGCACAACAGTGTGTGGTGGACGTGGGATGTGTCAGGGAAGATGCTCCACAGCTTCCCTTCCATAGAATGTTACCTGTTTGGATGATGGGTGTCTCTGGCTGGGCAGCCAGCAGGCCCAAATTGTAGAAGTTGCTGTTGTGCAGTATGTTGTTCTCAAATTCCTTCAGTGTCAGGGTGGGTTTAAGAAGCTGCCAGTTACTGTTATCTGGGAAGTGATTGTTAATGAACAGAGCCGGGTGAGTCAGGAAATAGAACTCATTGTACCTGGAAGAAGGAGGAGATATTAAAGGCAATGGAGTAACTATAGTAAATTCTTCCCTTCCACAGTGGTGATGGTTTCAAGTTGGAGTGTTTTGGGCTGCTGAGTAACTGAGATTGGTGAGTTGGAAAGTCTCCAGGTAGAGAAGAAACCTGAGCTTTGGCCTTTCCTTTCCAGGGTGAATGCTGAGCTTTGGGATAAACCCCAGGTGTTTGCACTG